ATACACACATCACATTTACAGAAACTGCAAAGTAAAAAATAAAAAAAGTTTATTTGGGGATAATTTGAAAAGGCATAAAAATATATATTTTTATGCCTTTTCAAATTATCCCCAAATATGCATCAGTTCATATTCTTTCAAAATGAGAAAAATAAAATAAACAAAATGAGGATGAATCCACAATGAAGCAGGTAATTTCTGAGGAGTGATGGAGCCACCTACATCTCTATTGTTATCTTTGGTGACTCCTTCAAACATGACTCCAAATAAATTTTTGCCTAAAAATACATCATTAGCAACATTCTGTTGTGGGCAGTGCAACAAATCGGCTTTAAAGTATTTTTACCTATTTGCCGAGATTGAATGCTATCTCAGAACGAGATCTTTTTATGGTTTATTGATTAGAATTCAAATCTGTACATTGTTTGACTCCATAAACATTAAATATAACAAATAATGAAGTTTTGTGGCACATATGTGTGTGGGGAGGGGGGCTTCCCCTCACTGTTTGTTTGTTGTATGAAGTCATGTGTGTGTAGAGCTGAAAGGCCCAAACTTGTGACCAAATAGAGGTATTGACCGGTGTGGTGCTCCTCAAACAAAGAAGGAGAGGCTGCTCTGCACTCAGCTGCTTTTGAGCTGCACCTTTCAGAGGATGGCAGATCAGCTAGGATGGAGCTTTGCAAACACAAGATGTGTTGGCAGCAATGTAAGGTTAAAAAATATGTAAAGTAGTCCCTTGTTTATTGAGGGGGTTAAGTTCCAGACCCCCACCCCCCCACCTGCAATAAGTGAAAATCTGCGATGTAGCAATGTTTTATTTATTTTAGTATTTAAATATATTTTAAGTCTTTAGGAACCTTTCCCACACTCTTGCAATGTTCTAAACTCTTAAACCTACATCATTTTAACAACATGCGTACAGTACTGAATATGTATCTACTAAATTTTACTTACCAGATCTGCAGAACAGCAGTGGCTCAGCTCCGCTCTGACTCGGTACTCGGTTCTGTTTCTGCAGACGTACCCTGCAGCAACGAAGCTCACAATCAATGTTCTAAACTCTTAAACTTACGTCATTTTAACAACAAATGCATAGGACTGTATATGTAGCTACTAAATTTTACTTACCAGCGCGTCTCCGCTCAGAGGTCCTCATGGGCCGGTTGAAGGAGATGAAGAGAGTCCCGGTGGGCTCCCGAGCGCTGG